AACTTGCTTTATGAAATGTTTGCTTGATTGGAATTCTCAGTATTCTGATCCTTTTTGTGGCGACAATTCTTTGCCCTATGACCTATCTTTCCACAAACCCAGCAACCTCCTTTGATTTTCTTGAAGGTTTTCCATTTCGCAGCAATCAGTGCTTTCTTTGCAGAATCATTGCCTTTGTTTTTTTGTTGGTGTTTTGCCTTGTGTGAGTCTCATCCTTCCACAATATTGGCTTTTGCCTCCAGTGATGAGGCATCATACTTCTCATTTTTACGATGATCTTCTTCCACACGCAGTTTGAGAATCAATTGATCCATGCTCATGTCTTCAGTTAGATGTTTCAGATTAATCTTAAAGTCCTTCCAATTTGAAGGCAGTTTCTCTATAATAGAGTCAACCACAAAGCCTTCTTTTTGACCAAGATTCTTTTCATCTAACTCATGAACAATCATTTGGAGCTCTTCAACTTGCTTGACAACAGACTTAGTGTCACTCATCTCTTAATTCAGAAATTTTCTTATCACAAACTTCTTGGAACTAGCCACTTCAGACGTATTTTTTGTCCAGAGACTCCCACATATATTTAGCCATCTTATATGATGAATAAACATCATACAGAGAGTCATCTAAAGCATTCAGAATGTAGTTCCTGCATAGAAATTCACTGTGAGTACAGGCTTCTATAGCCTGCAGAATTTCGATAGGAATATCTCATTCTTCTGGTGTTTCAGGGGCCTCAAAAGTAATGACGTGACTTAAGTTCAGAGTTGTCAAGTAGAACAACATCTTCTGTTGCCAACGTTTGAAATCAACTCCTTTGAATTTCTCAGGTTTCTCAACGTGTTGCTTGAAGACACCAACATTTGATTGATCCATCAAATAGAATTTTCTATCTTAGATTGTTATAACCAATCAAATATCAATTATACAATATATAATAATTGCACATTTTATTTCGAATTACAATTTCACTATATACACAATATACTAGATTATGAATAATTAATAAAATTGCATATAAAATCACAACAATAATCATTGACTTGTTTATGGAAGACAAAGGCTTGCAGTAGCAATCTCCTAAGACAAAAATTCGCCCATATACCTGTGCAGTAGTTCAGGGACGTCTATCTTGTACTTGTGTTTTTCGTCCATCTGAGCTCCAAGGCCAAGGCCCATCTTTGACATTTAATATATACACTCAAACCTTCTAAGTCCAAGGCCCAAGGTCCATGGTTTTGGCCCAATTCCTTTCAAATAATAAGTGAGTGAACTCGCTTATAAAGGGGAATTAGGTAAAGTGTATGGGCGATGTGGGACAATAGTCCCTTACAAGTTCCAACAGGATTTGCGCCTTTTAGTTTGATATATTTACTCTGTCATCTAATCTATATCATATTACCCTACTACAATGAGAGAACAGACAATACCCAAAATGATGTTTAATAACTTTTCTTTTGTCAATATGTGATGATAGGGGAGAGAACCAAACCTAAAACTCCAGATAAAAAACTATACTCATAAAAACTTAAACTACAATTTAAAAAAAACGATAAACCACTTAAACTACACGAATCTTGCTCCCTTTTATATTTACGTAGAGTAGTGATAATTTTCTTTTATGTGTGTTGTAAGGTAGGAAAACTGTAACGCACTTACTGATCCAATGGTGCCAGCCCCAAAACAAAAAACTTTGATGCGGTGATCAGGATTATAAGCCCATTTTCCAAATAGTGAGAAGAGAATGACATGGGCCTAAAACCTGCTCAAGAATAATTTATTATATATTTCTTCTGAACAAAGTCGAGCACTTGCAAATTTCACTCTGGCATAAAGATTGATCGACCGGCAAATAAGACACCGCAGAAGACAGCGCACCTTGTCCGCCCACCGCCCCCCCCCCCCCTCCCCCCCCCCGCCCCAGAGGTCAGTTGTGTTGAGAATTCATGGAAATATGCAAGGTCTTACAGTTTTTATAATTTAATCTTTTGTTGTATCCATATTTTATAGTTAATACAAACAAGGGGAAACCCTAATCTCCCCAAGCTAGCGCCCCACTCACCCCCAACGTCCTTCCATTTTCTTTTTCTCTTTATTTGACTGGACTCGTAGGACTAAGAATATTTGGATTAATTTGGACCATCCTCGTAATACGCATCTTTAATTGATGATTCATTTGTCACATTATTGGTTAGGAATTAAGAAAGTCTCTCAATGTCATTAAGAAACATGATTAACACTAATCATATTTTACCAGAAAGAGAAAGCACATGGGATCTTCAAGTTCAACGAAGAAGGCATCACATGTGATCTTTAAATTAATTAAAATTGTTTTCAAATCACCAAAAACGTTTGTGTGTTTGATATAAAAAATCAAAGGTGTTTCACTTGAAGTGCTTCATAAAAGAAGTACTATCTATACATGTGATTTTTTTTAGGAAACGCTTCCAAGTTTTTTTTTTTTTTTTTAAAACGCTTACATTTTTATTAAAAGTTTCGATGTGCTTATCATAGAAGTGCTTATGAACAAAAGTGTTAGTTTAAAGAAGGATCTTCGAGGCCTTAATTATTGTAATAATATGATATGACCATCCTACATAATTTATGCTTTTACTTCGTAATATTAACATTCAACAATAATCTTAAAAAAATATCGGACAATGATGAATGATATTCTTCATAATTGAAAAGATCAATCACGTCTTTCTCTGTATTTGCAAAAATCAATCTACATTTATTCACACATTTTGGATCTCAAGGAACAAGGAGCCTATGATGGTATATAATAATATTGTTACATTGTTTCCCAGATAATTTATATCAAGAAGCTTTGGATGGAATCGAATATTACTTTCATGGTAGGGACCAATTCGCCGCCGTGGAAGACCAGCCACCCAAAGGCCAATTAAGTTAAATCATCACACTGTGGTAACAATAAACAATGACTGAAAATAACAACTAGGGTTTGGTATTATATGTTATGATAGTATTTGATATACGCATTCTTGGTGCGCCTGGAAATTAAGTCCTTGTTCGAAATATTCTGATATAGTTGTTTAATCCTTCAGTTAGCTAGCATGGCCAGGGTGATACCTCTACTATATATACACTACAAGTTCCCTGAATTAAATATTTTCCAGTTGACGATTTGATGGATTTTGGTTCAAAAGAGAACTGAGCTGTTTTGCATCGTTGGATGAATATAATAATCCATCCTAGAATTATTTTCATATATCTGTAACTGGCAAGAGAGTTTATATCAAACATGAGTTTAATCATGATATAAATTGAGTTTTAACTTTAATCACCCAGTTCATCCTAAATTTTGTATTACTTTTATCTGTTTAGGTCATAAATAAAAATAAGGCATATGTTATGGGACCAATTAGTTTTATTTACGCAAAGTTGCATGACTCCGGCCCACCAACTTTGAAGCCTAATTAAGGATCATACCCTAGGGCTAGGACAACCACCTCACTACACTCTAACCCGTCTGAGGGTTCGAATAGGTTCCTCCTTGATGCGCTTCTGCCATGCAGACTGTCAAATCTAGGAATATGTTGCCTACTTAAATGTCGATGCACACATCACCCTACACACTGATGTCGCCACATCAATCGTGCGAAACTCCACTAGACATAACACCTACCAGGAATTACAGTCATTATCCGCCAATATGATCTATCCCGGCTCCAGCTCAACAATAAGATCAATGTCCTTCTCTACTGTATAAATAGAACCAGAGGTCTTCAAGCTTAGGGCCTTTGTTAAAATCAATCTCTATGATTATACAAAACCTTGAGTAATTCTTCAGTCAATCCAACTGCTTTTTAGCAAACTCTTAGCTCTTCAGCTACAATCTCATAACTTTCTTTCGATGCAAACACTGATTGGACCCCTGAGATCTTAAATTTTTATAGCTTTCCCAGCCCGTGTTATGATTCAATTTACTCGCACCTTTCACAAGCACTTAAAACACAAACAATGTCTGTTGACAGCCGCTAACAGTGACACACCTATTCTCTCTTTCTCTCGAGCCATCATGTGGCAACAAAGTCGAAAGCAACACTTAGAGCAAATACATGTTAAACCCAGTCTAGATCTCCGTCCAAATTTTGACACCAACATCATCATCATCATTACGTGATTGTTTTTAGAGTCGAATACAAATAGAGCTTCCAAAGTATTCTTAAGATCCTAGCTGCATGTATATATGTATATATATGAATCTCCTTGTTTTCCCAGTATCACGGGAAGCTTGTCACCCCCTCAAACTGCGAATATTTTAAACTTGAGCGACGCAACTTCGTCCTAGTATTACATGCCTTCTGCGTGAAATATTCCATATCACAATATGTGACATTTCAAAGTCATCTCTCTGACTCTCTACCTCACTCTGAGCTCAACACACCCTGTCATTCGACTTAGTCGCCCAATAGGAATTAGGTTAGGTAATTACTATACACTTTTTCACTCACAAGTCACACCATACCTCCTATATAAAACCTTAGTTCTAAGTTGTGAACTAAACAATTTTCTATAGTTATCTCATAATTTATATTTATTTTTCAATATACCATAATTAAAATCATCATGACTCATCTACTTTATTTATTTATTTTATTGTTATTAAAAACATAAATAAAAAAAATACTCATTTCTTATAAGTAATTATTATATACCGAGTTTCAAACATTCGAAGCTTGTATAAATTTGTCTTACAAAAGTTTAGTTTATTCCAAATAACGTCTAAACATTTTTAGAACAAATTCAAATAAAAAAACCCGTTAGGGCGAACTCAGCTGGAAAAGGGATTATGTAAGGCCCGTCCAACATCCAAAATATGGAAATATAGTAAAAAAACCCTACAAGGTCCACAGCCCTATTATAAATACACTTTCCTTCTTGCACCAAATTTACAACACCTTCAAACCAAACCAACAACAAAAAGAAAGCCTCTACTTCCCAATCTCAGTCCAAACCAGATCCAGAATCATTACAACATGACCGGAACCGACGATTCGCACCGAAAGCGAAACAGGTGCTTGCTTTGCATAGCCGCCGGGATCATAGTCCAAACCGTCATCATAGTCCTCTTTGTGGTTTTCGTCCTACGAGTCAAAACTCCCAAAGTCCGTTTAGACTCGGTTGCAGTCGACACACTCGTGGTAAACTCCAGCACCTCCTCTCCTTCCTTCAACGTTCAAATCAAAGCCGTCGTCGCGGTCAAAAACAACAACTTTGGACACTACAAGTTCGAGAGCAGCAATGCAACTTTCTCGTACGAAGGGATCGAAGTCGGCGAGGGAACCATAGACAAGGAAAAGGCTAAGGCTAAGAAAACAAAGAGGATTAATGTTGTAGTCTCGTTGAGTTCGAACAAGGCTTCGAGCCACTCTCGGTTGAGTAGCGATCTGACTTCTGGGAATTTGACTTTCACAGCGTACGCTAAGTTGGATGGGAAGGTTCATCTGTTGAACATTATCAAGAAGAAGAAGTCTGCTGACATGAACTGCACTGTAAATCTTGATACTAAGGCCAAATTGGTCCACGTCTTGACTTGCAAGTGATCAAATTATTAAGTCGTTGATTAATTATTTTCTTCTTCTTCTCTTTTTATTGGGTTTTCTTGGGAATTATTTTTCGTTTCATTTTTATGGGTTTGAAGTTTGGTAGTTGTTGAATATTAATTTGTATTCTTAGTTTTTCATATGGAGGAAAATATTATAAGTATGTTGAAGGTTGTGCGAGTTTTCATCTTTTGCATATTCTTTGTACAATATTGGTTTAAATTTTTGAGATCTCTACACTATTTGCTTGCAACGAATTATTCATTAACTTTTCGAACAAAAAAAGAAAAGAATTATTCTATTAACTAACTTCAAATTTGTTCAATTAAAAATTAGGGCAACTGTATCTGCATTTCTATTCTCCCTGCGTTTTTTTAACTACTTTTTAACTTTTAGGTCTCAAGCAAATTTGTGGTCTCACCATTAAACTCAAAATTGAATCATTTATCTTGTTGTTTAAATAAATTTAATGTAGATAATACACAAATTTTCAAGTGGATGAGATCGGCTAAGTGGTCTTCGTTGGAGATGGGATTGCGTGTGTTTATAGATTGAACCATATTCAAGCTAAGGGAAATGGTTGAATTTTCCAATGATGTGAACGGAAGAATATTCTCACTTATATGCCTACTTGGCACATTAACCTCTTTTTCTTAACTTCGTTATGAGGATTTTTGCCTTTGCTTCATTTTCCTTCACCTTAGAGCATTCAAGCATTCGGACGCATTCTCGAAGGCTTATGTATGGTAAATGATTACCGCAACGACGGAAAACAATAACATTTGTGCACTATGGTGTGAGCTCAACCCTCACTTATCTCATTCCCGCTAACATTTAACAATTTAACCAATGACACAATCGTTTTATCAAAAAAATTTATAGATTTATATATATGAATAAAAAGAAATAGCAAGTTGGAGCTTGAAATTGATTGGATGACATTGACAGTAACGAGAGCATGAATTATTTAGGTTGTGCCTGCCAGCTTGAATTCAACTAGCCAAATGAAATGAAAATCATGTTAACCACATTAGCATGTAATGTCGGGCTGATGGCCCACTGGTAGTGATTGCCTACGAATATTGTCGCATCTGCATATATCATGATCATATTTAAGAAGGAGATGATGACTTTTCTATTCAAATTTCGGTTGAAGAAAATAATTAGGGTAAAAAGTTGCGTGAATTTGATAAAGTACTGTATTTACTGTGTGTACTTTTGATAACCGAACAAACCTGGATTTCTTGGCTGTTTATAAAAAAGCACTGATCTAATTTTGCAGGCCTGTATACTTACGTTGAGTGGATATAGATTTCAGTCTACTAATGTAATATTATGTAAAGAAATTTACATATAACATTGCAATAAAATAATTGAGAAATTGATCATATTTTAAAGTTTTTTAATTAAAATAGTCCATGAGATTGGCATAACTCCTTATTTTGATCTCTAATAATAAAAATTGATAGAAATAGTCCATGAGTTTATCCACTGTAAATCATTTTGGTCATTCATTGCAAAAACTGTCAATATCCTCATTAAGTGGTGAGGTTGGTTTGACAAAAATACCCTTAAATAGGTGATCACGGGGTCGTTCACGTGAACAAGCATATTGACAAATTTTTCTCAAAATGATCAAAATGATTTGTAGTGGACAAACTCAATGACCTCTTTTACAATTATCATTATCAGGGACTAAAGTGAGAAATTATGTCAATCTCAGACTATTTTAACTAAAAATCCTAATTTTAACCGTAAAAGGCATTCATATTATAAAAGTACCCACAAAAATAGGAAGGCTTATTTGGAGCGGAATAAAAGGATAAAGCCCTTATGTAGCCTGATTATCTGCCTTACCAGCTTTAGATGAAGAGGAAAATTTGACAGTATTTGATTGACATATATTTCTCAATTAGATTGAGAAGGAGATGATTTGTGATCAATTTCAGCTGAAAAAAGTAGATGATCTATGCCAGACCTTGCTTGCCCATCACCGCAAGCATCTTCTCAAAGCTCTTGCTTCATCAACACAAAGGGAGGAGTCAAGTTGATAGAGCAATCATATCTGGGACCCTAACCTTTCCCACGGATTCAATTTGATTGCTTGAATTGGATTTAAATTCCAACCTGTTCGCTCTAACAGAAAATTACGAACGGATAAAAGAATATGCACTAATGGATTGATTATCTATAGAAACTTTTTTAAATACTAAGAATACAAATCATGTGGTGTACCATCCACGCATTATATTTTAAGTGAACACCTAATGATTTTATAACTATTTTTATTCTAAATATATTCCGAGTATGTACATTTAACATCGGTGCAATCACCCGCATTTAACAAAATCATGACCAATTTGATTGATCTAGTGGCACTGACACTGTGATACATATAACAGTGCGTATAAAGATGAAACACGACATGTTTCAATACCATGATCTTTTCAACGCGGCACAGTTGAATTGATCCTATCTAACTAGCCGCCTTTGGGATATTTCTTATAGAGCTTGTGTATGTCACTTACTTTTTCTCTTATAAATATCGTTGAACTTTCCTTCTGTTGAAAGACTCGAAGCATACTTTTCCTACTTCCAGAACCGGTAATTTACAAGTCAAACGCTCTATTAAGCTACCTAATTGCGCCAAATAATAATTACAGTAAAATAAGAAATAATAATACGTTAACTTTTTGGCCACCATCATGCAAAATATTTTGATTAATTAGCTTGAGGTCGATCTGCGATGTCATTAGGCTGCTGACATTGTCTTACGATTATAATTTATATGCTTATTAATAAAATAAAATTTGATTTTGCAAGTGATAGATTGTGTTAGTTGACATAACCTTCTTCAATTCAATAGTTTAGCTTAGAGTAGAAATATCATTCGTAAAATAGTATGAGCCTACATCCGCGTTTGTGACAAGAAAGAGGACCTTTGCTGATCCCATTTGCAAAATAAGTGCTCTTAATCCTCCTATCACATATCTATAAATACTTGCTTATCAAAACCACCACCATTATCAATATTCTACTCACCAATCGAAAGAAATATACAAACTGAGAAAATACAATGGCAGCTGAGAAAGAAGCAACATCTCCCCCGGCACCCTCAGCAAACGGCTACACTCGGAGCGACCAAGAATCCGCCGTCGCAGCAGACCCCGCCGAGCTGAAAAGAAACAAGCGCATGAGGTGCCTACTATACGTTGTTGTCTTTGCTGTGTTTCAAGTTGTAGTTATCACAGTCTTTGCACTCACCGTCATGAAAATAAAAACCCCTAAGTACCGAGTTCGATCAGCCTCACTCAGTGAGTTCGAAGTTGGCAGTGTAACGAGCCCTTCATTTAACCTTGTAATGGATGTTCAGTTTGGTGTGAAGAACACCAACTTTGGACACTTCAAGTACGAGGATGGAATTGTTGAGTTCGATTACAGAGGAACAAAAATTGGACAGACTAATGTGTACGAGGCCCGTGCCAGGGCTCGATCGACTAAAAAGGTGGACGCGCCTCTGTACTTAAGTTCGAATGAGTTGAAGGGTAATTCTCTATTAGCGAGTGATATTAGCTCGGGGATTATTCCGGTTACGTCCACTTCTAGATTGGAGGGGAAGATACATTTGATGAAGGTGATCAAGAAGAAGAGGTCTGCTCAGATGAATTGCACCATGGAAATCGTTCTTGCTACGCAGTCGGTGCAAAATATTGTCTGCAAGTGATACTTCATACGTATACTGTTTAATTCGTTTTTCATTTTTAGATTGTTTTGTGAGATATGAGACATTTTGCAGCTATACAATGTAGTCCGTTATTAATTTTCCTATCTAATAATATTTGTTTGTGATTAGTGATTTGAAAGTGGTTTGAAGTGTTAATAATATTGAATTGAATTGCACATTGTTATGATTGATGGTTTTAAAATCTTATAGCTTGTCATTAACCATTATGATTTGGCTTTTTAGTTAAAATGATCTCTAAAATTGACATAACTACTTATTTTGGTCCCTGACATGTAAAATCGATAGAAATGATCCATGAGTTTATCCATCACCTCATTTTATCATTTCGTGAAAAGTTTCCATTAAATTGAAAGTATTTTTGTCAATTCAACCCCTTCACTTTCATGAAAAAAAAATCCTCAGTTTAACTGAGGATTTTATGGAATGACCAAAATGATTGATGGTGGACAAACTGAATAACCACTTCTATTGATTTTAAATCTCAAATACCAAAATAAAGAATTATGTCAATCTCAAAAATCATTTTGGTTAAAAAAAACTTTCTGATTATGCCCTTGTTTAAATTTTGGTTTGAAGTAGACCCATGAAGTAGCCCAAATAAAAGATTTCGGCCTAATTATACCCCTCCACTGGGCTGTAATGATTTTTACGGACCTTTCAAAAAACAGAGAAAAATGATTGTCCGGGCCTTAACAGTTTGGGTTGTCAGGTATATAACTCGCCGTTATTTTCATTCTCGACTTCAAGTGTTTATGGTTGTTGGGGTAAATTCTGAGTAATCCAGCTTTATATTTACTAGAAAATAGTTTTTTTTTTTTTAATTCAATCTTGACCATTCATTTTTAATAAAACTTTGCTTGTGCTTAGCTTGTTTATTGGAAGGAGTTATTATTCTTTCTGCAAATCACAATTTGATACGTACAAACGGTCTAACCATGAGTCGGTACTTTGACATTGTGGATAGTGTTAACATATTGTTTAAACAGGACATGGATCCTCTCTGGATCCAATGGTCCTAATCCACCAAGTCACATCATTCGGACCATTAAAATTTAATCCAACAGCTACAAACAGGGGCTTACTTTAAAAGTTATAATAATTTTAGCCGTTAGATCAAATTTTAATGGTCCAAATGATGTGACTTGATGAATTAGGACCAATGAATCCGGAGAGAATCCATGTCCGTTTAAAACGTTCCAGAAAGCTTGGCCGATGATTGAGACAGATCCAATGAACTGCAGCAAAAGAAATCTAA